AACACGTTAATAAAACTCCCATTTTAACTGTTTTAATATCAAGGTCTTTTAATGCTTTAAACCTTGCTTTCAATCTCTCAAAAGAATTTTCTACTACAACTCGATGACGTGAATAAAATTGATTAAATTCTTTTTGCTTTTGAGTACTTGGATCTTTAAAAGGTGGAATTAAAAAGGATGAAATTGGATAAGCTGAATCTCCTAGAAGGTAATCATCTTCTTGGATAAGATTAGGATAATTTTTATAGTAAGAAGAATTTCTAAAAACTCGAGCATCATATACAGAACCTGGCCAACCTACATCAAAGCTAGTAAAAATACCCCTATCATTTATAATACCTTGATAATGAATAGCATAATGTTTTTTTCAAGTAAAATAAACTTCTGGATCCTTAGTTGAAGCATTTCTCATGGGAATATATGTTCTATCAACTGCTCCAATTACATTCTTAAGTCCTCCCAAATTTTCAAATCACTCATGAACTTTTTTACAATCTTCTAAAACAGGCCACTTAACAAAGAGTTTTTTGTGATATGATTGCTTGAATAATACGTTTAGTATAAAGAATTACTGTCCTTTCTCCTATTCTAAATCTTGAACAATGTTCAAATAAACTCCCAGTAGATCCAAGTCGACAAAGGAATACAGCTAATTGAAATTCAACACAAACTTGAGGTTTATTTCCTTGTGGTAAAAATACAGGATGGTGGCGTATAAGATCTGCTAATTGTTGAAAATGATGTGAAAACATTCGCAAGAGTTTTTTAAATCGAACAGGATTATAGGATGGAAGAACATTTCGCCACTAATGCTTTGATTTTGTTACGTAGTGTATTCGTGACTTTAGATATTGTGTAATTAATTGTTGTACTAAAGTAGCTTTTAAAATAATACTCTCTTCTTCCTTACTCAAAGTTCCCTCCTCTTCTTCAAGTTCCTCTTCTTCAAGCTCATCTAGAAAGGTTTTTAACAATAATATATTTTGAATTTGTTGTTTACGATTCATGGTAAAAGTTAGCCAGTCATAATATAATGATCAATCCAGTCGATCAAAAATCGTGCTCAATTGTAACTATTATTTGATTGGTTACTTTTTTTTTCAATCTGAACAATCTGATCTAGAACTGAACAGGGCTACTATTATTAAATATTCTAATTTTTATAATAATATTAATGCGAAATATTTTTGTTAAAAAATGTTTAAAAACAAATTAAATTAAAATATGTAAAAAGTAGCTTTAAAATCTAAAATATGCATATATATATATATTTTTCAGTAATTTTCTTTATCATTTATAATGAATATAATTTTTTGTATACATTATTTTAAGTCCATTAATACATTTTAACAATCAACTATTAAAAAGTATAATGCAAAAACACTGTATTTTTGCATTAATTAAAGTTTTTAAAATATAAGTATTTAAATTAAAATCTTGCATTTTATAGTTTAAATTTGTAATTCATCACGATTATTTGCAGATTTAAACTTTAAAATCTGAATAATAGTATATTTTATCCTATTGAATCCTTAATATGAGAAGCAGAAAACATTTTCTTCTGAGCGAGTTATCATAAAATGTGAATAGTGTATTCATAAATATTATTGTAATTACAAATTTATTTGAAGTATTCATAACTGAAATTGTTTTTATCATTTTTTAATAATTTTTAAATAAATAGTAAAGAAAAAAAATTTAATTTTATTGTGAAGTCTTTTAGAAAGTATTATATGGCTAAAATAATTTTAAGGCCAAATTTTTTGAAACAAAAAAAGTATGTTTGAAAGTTGTGACAGGTTACATTAAATATATTTACTTAGAGTATGTTAATTCATTTGATTTGAATTACTTGTATAATTATAAACTAGGAAATGGTTTCAAAACCTATTGTTAAGTCTGAAGCATAAGTATAATGAAAGGGACCAACACATATTGACTTAAATTTTGAGCAAAAATATCTGTATCATCTTGCATATTTGCATAAACATATATAGTATTATTCAATTTAAATTGCTTATATAATTTGTATTTTCAATAAATAAAGCTTTTTCATTTTTTAAATAAAAAAAATATGTTCAAAAACATATTTATAAATATAAATCATAAATTATATAAATTGAAAATTGAAAAAAATCTACATTTTTATAATAAAATACTAGAGTTCTGAATAATCAGGTAAATCAAATTACCTGATCTAAAAGTTTAAGTTAGATTAAGTAAAATTTAATCTGATTTAAATTTTCATTTAATCTGATTATTACATGATTTAATCAAATTTACTTAATAAATATGAACTATTTCAAAAAAAAAAATTTTTTTGTAAATAATATTAAATAATATTAAATTATAAATATATAATATAATAAATAATAAATAATTTATTTATTCAAATTTATTGCAATTATTCTATTATAAAAACATTAGAATCCTAAATCAGGTTAGGTCAATATATTACTTAATCTGACTTGTTTAAAAATTCAGATTATGTTAATAGAATTATTCTAATTGAATAATAATAAATTATTTAAAATTTTTAAATTAATTAATAAAATTAAAAATTGTAGTTTTATAAATAGTAAAAATTAAAAATTAAAAATATTATCTTATTATTTTATAAAATATATGATATAAAAAATATCAAATTAATATATAAGCTTAAAACTTATATTATATATGAAAAGTATTTATATTGTAATATTTATTTTGATTAAAATAAACACAAATGTTTATATAAATAACCTATCAAAATTAATGATACTTTTTAAGTATAAAATATATATATACAAATTTATAATCCTATTAGTTAAAAATAAACTTAATTATAATCATAATTATTTATTAAATATAATTATTAAAATAATATTTAAAAAAATTTTAAGAATATCATAGTAATCTACTTATAATAGCATATTTAGTAAACTCAAAGCTTTCAGTTACAAAAAATTCTAATATTAAAAAATTAAAAATTAAAAATATTAAAGAATTTATTTTAATACATCATCTAAACAATAATCTCTAAATTAAAATAATAAACTTAGTTAATTTATCATATTTATTTAAAATAATCTTAAATTATATGTATAATTAAATCTAAATAAATTTTTAACTTTTTTTTTAATAAATCTAAAAAAAGTAAATTTAACAATTATTTTTTTAATAAAATTAAAAAAAATATATATATTATTAAGATAATAATACAATTTAAATTAAATATTATAAAAAAACATTTTCTTATTTTAATAATAAAAAATATATATATTAGATTTAAATTCAAATTGATTTTTTATGAAAATGTAATATAATAGAATATTTAAAAAAGATTTTATAAGAAATCTATTAATATATTAGTATATTTATATTTATCAATATTTATTCTTTGAATTTATTAACAATTTATAAAATAAACTTTCAAAGATTTTTTAAAATTATTATTATTATTTCTAAATATTAAACTTAATATTTTAAACAATATTTATAAGTATATGAATATAATATTTAAAATAGATTTTATTGTATTAGTAAAATATTCAAAAGGTTTACTTCAAGTTTTTAATTAATTTATTGTAATATTAAATAATATGTAAGTTGAAAAAAATAGTTTTAAAAAAGCTAAAAAAATCTTATTGATTTTTAAATTATAATCTAATCTCAAGTAATATACCTACCTCTTTATTATTATAATAATATTATAATGAGAATAAATTCTAACAGTCTTATACTGGTTAATTTATCATATATATATGCATAACTTTACTATTAGGATATAATAGTATAACTATTTTAGTAAACTTGATATAAATAATATAAGACTATTATAATTGAATAATATATGATCTATTTGTTGAATATGAGAAATAATATTTGCATTAAATTTCTAGATTGAACTCAAAACTTCATTAGATATATAATATATAAACTTTTATATAAAATCAAAATCCTTTGCTTAAGAGTAAAGAAGCAATCTTCATATGTATTTTTCTGAAATCATAAAATAATTTTGTAGGTAAATTCATGTATTACATAATAATTATTCAATATATTTGTTTTATTTAATGTTTAAAGATTGCTAGAAAAATCAGATTCTGGGAATTTTTTAACAAAATTGAGATTTTTATTGCATTTTAATTTTTGATGTTATTAGATTAATTCTCAGAATCTGTTTCCTAGAAATCCTTCTATATGCTAACCCTAATTAAACTTAAATATATCATATAGGCTGATTTGTCTCACATCACTAATTAATAAAAGTGATAAATTTCAAATTTGATCAATATGTCAATATACAAAAATAAAAAAATAGTGATAATATCAAATAATGTATGATGATGTATATTTTGATTTTGCTTTTGCTTTTAAGCAAATTTTCAAAGACTTCGCATGCTTATAAAACTTGATTTCGTAATATTAAAACCTGCCAGAAATTGGTTTGAAATTGGTTTTTTTAGAAGGAATTTATTTTTTTAGAATGGTAAGTGGTATTGTAAAATTATTTAATTTAAATATTAGAAAGGTTATTTGGTAAAATGGCAAAAATAACTCTTATTACGTTAGAAATAAAATAAAAATAATATGTTTCCTATATATTTTTTTAGATAGTATTGAAAGATTCTAAAAAAATCTTTTTATTATTGTATTTTTAATTCTTATTTATTTTATTACAGGTTTTATAGGACAGGACGTTTTGTGTATTTTATTTACTATTATAATAAGATTATGTACCATATTTTAAAGGGTTATAGCTATAGATAAACATGCAGAGTTAGAAAATTTTAGTATTATTAGAAAGAGTCTTGTTTGTCCTCTTAAAGCATTAAAAATCATTTAAATTGGATCATAAAAAGCTTGGATAATAATTTTTGAGCATATTATAACATTTATTTATAGTTTTCGTGATTTCTCATTCTTCTGTAATTCATTTTGAACAATTTTCTTTATAAAAACAGATATAATGGTTGTTTCAAGTGGTTTATAAAATAATTCTATTTATTATGAAATTTGTGTGGTTAAATTATAAAAATTTTCTTTTTGAATTCTTTTAACGAAATTTTGACTTTAGCTATGGTGATAAATGTAACAATGATCGACAGCCCACAGGTGACATAATTGAAGTGAGACAAATCGGCCCATATGTAAATAGATACCATGTGACAAATATTTTATTATAATCACATGTCTGAGCATCTGATGTATATCGGAATAAAAAAAAAATATCGTGATCAACATGGGAATGCGCGGATGAGTACTCGGGTCTAGAATAACCTAAAATCCCGGAGTATTGACATTTTAATCACGTGAAGTGAATGCAGAATATGTGGTATTAACAAAAATATTTAAGAAATAAAATATAGGAATTAAGCTAACGCAAATCAATCTTTTTTTTTTCTTTAGGCTAAATATTTATTTTATGATTTATGATCTAACCCTCACTTTTTTGATTTGATCTTATGAAAGTTTTTTTTTTATTTTTTACATAATACTGCTACGTTTAGTATTAGAAAGTTTAATATAATGTTTAAAATAAATTGTTTATCATGCGAACCAACAAAATTCTTTTTAAAGAATATTCGAAGTAAAATTTTTTGATAAGTTGATCAATCACAATCTTATAGCCGCAGTGATTTTCGGTGTACTGTAAAAATTTGGGGTATTACAAATTATTGACCTCGTATTGAAGAAGTATTTTGGATTAATATGAATTTATTAATAAAATCAAAATTTAATAATACAGTTCATTATTATTTGTGGGGTGGTATTATAAATTATATTATTATTGAACGAGACTTTAAAATATCGGTCGAAGACCTGTTCAATAACATATTATTATCTGAGATATTACACATGCCAATATAAATATGATGTCGATCAGCATAGGTACGATTACGATTACAATCGTGTAAAAATTATAAAAATAATATGAGCGAGTCAATAGAAAAAGGGGTTTTTTATTGAATTAAGTTATCGAATGGAAACGAAACGATTCTTGTATATTTTTATTTT